GTGAAGGAAGGTTGGGCTAGGGTGGTGTGTGTGTGTGTGTGTGTGTGTGTGTACGTGGGTGGGAGGGATGGAGAAAAAGTATTTTAAAACATGTACCCTTGATTGAAACTGGTTTTGATTAAATTATGTAAAGACACTTTAACAAAACATTCCAGAAATTACATATCTAAAGAAGTATTGCTGCCTTCATATCGTCCTATTAGGAGGTTCCACTGCTCCTAATGCTTCAATGGCTCTAAACAATCCTGGAAAGCCTCTTTTAGAACTTTCTTCAGAGCCAGGGTATGAGCCAAACTAGAAAAATAGGCCTAATGCCACATATACATAGACATACTTCCTAAGTCCCCAAAGCGAACCACGTGTAATGTTGTTAAATTGTTGCAAGGTTTATAAGAACTTCCTTTTATGACTTTGACCTTCCAATGTATACAGTGAGGTCACTTCTGTAAGAAAATAAGCAAATACTGTGTGGGGGGGAAAAGCTAAGTCATCTGATTCTTCACCAAAAAATGAGGATATGTTTTTGTTTGTTTTTTTTCATAAAGAGTGAGCCAACTCAGGAAACTCAAGGCAGAAGAAATACTTGGACAGTCAGGGATTTTTTTGGGGGGTGGGGGTGGGGGTGGGGGTATCATATAACAAATATACTTTAGAAGGTTGACAACAAATATCCCACAGGGAAAAAAAAAAAAGAATGGCATTATGTCCATCAGTTTTAGGAGCAGTGGGAAGCATGATGGGCAGAGTTCAAATTTCAGAACCAAGCTTAGGAGTCCAACTCTAGTTCTCTAACTAGCTGTGCAAGCTTGGACCAATTCTCTCTCTGATCCTTATTGTCCTCATCTGTAAAAGGGAGATACATATGCCAGGAGTTTTGCGAAGTTTTATTAATGGAGCCCTAATTCTAACCTCCCCACTTCACCTAACCACCTTTTCTTCATATTAAAGAACAAGAAACCAGGGGTGGCTGTTTGGCTCAGGTGGTTAGAGCACAGGCTCATAACACCAGGGTTGCAGGCTCGATTCCCACATGAGCCAAGGAGCTGCACCCTCCACAACTAGATTGAAGCCAACGACTTGACTTGGAGCTGATGGGTCCTGGAAAAACGCACTGTTCCCCAATAAAATTTAAAAAATTAAATTAAATTACAAAAGAACAGGGAGCCGTGAGGGAAGCAGGGAGTAGAGGACAATCATCCAGGTGCTTTCGGGCTACACCGGCGTCGCCTTTCTCAGCTCTGCAATATCAGTGCACAGAGAAAGAATTCCTGGCTACTTTATCAGCCTCAGAAAAGAAGGGCTGGGGGGCCCGCGGGCAGTGCCTTCAGTGCAATAGACATTCCTAGAGCATTCTGTCAGTTACGGAAAGAAGCAGCCTCATGTAAAGACCTGAATCATTTCAAGAAAATGAAACGAACTCAACGCCTCAGAGTAGTAGATTGGTTGAACGGTGAGGCATATACCCAAAGGCACAATCACATGATGGAATTATATACTGAGGCATTTTAAATGACATGGGAGATGTTCAGAATAAGTAAATGTTGCTGCAAAACAGTATATAGACTATGGGTTCCAACCTTTTTAAGATAATTGATTTATAGGGAAAAATAGAAGGAGATAAAAAGTGTTGATGAACTCTGACAGGCAGGATTATGGAGGTAGTAAATGTTTTCTCTTCTAAAGCTTATACAATAAATGTAATATTTGCTAATACAAAGTTATAATAATGATAGAGCATTTGGAAAAAAAACTCCACAGGGCACAAATTGAGACTACATTGTTCACCACCTCATAATAACAAGCATTTAAAGAAAAGTGTTTTGTTTTGTTTTTTCCTGAGAAGGGCGATAGAGAATTTGTAAAAGGGAAAAGTGACTCTTTTGATTCTCTGCAAATTTCCTCTTTTTAAAAATCTTGTCCCACACTCCAAAGAATTATTTCCCCCCAGAATTAAGAGTGGAAAAAAGTAATAAACCTGGCTCTTTTCTTGCTCCAGGATGCTCAATGTTGAGACTTAGGAGTAGGGAAATTTCACATAATTCAGGCCGGAGGCTCCTGGCCCTGCCACTGGGTCTGTGCCCTCTTGGCATTCACTTCCCGACCATCACCTCTCTGGGTAGCAGCGAGATAACTGGGGAAATTCCTGTCCTATAACCTCCGCAGTGGTCCAGGAAGGGGGAGGAAAGAAAGCACAAGGCCCAGCCTTCCTTAAGTTCTTAAAACAAGAGTACTTAAAACGCTCTACGTGTATCATTACTGTAATTGTTAAGAGTAATTTACTGAATTCTTTCCATGAGCCAGGTATACATGGCATTGTCTCATTTAATTTTTACATTGGCCACTTAGGTAGTATCCTTATTTCACAGATATAGACACAGGCTGAGGTCAAGCAATGCACCTTTACAGAGTGCAAAGCTATTTCTTCACACTACTCTCTAAGATGAGGAATCTGTTTTAACATGGGGAATGAAAGGACAGATGGCTTTAAAATCCCTTTTGTGGGTCTACATGGCTGATCCAAACATTTTCAGTTTTTGGTTTCAATAGAGGGAGCCTGTACTTAGTAAGGCAATGGGGGAAGCCAAACCTGGGCCTATTTCACTAGATTATGAGTGGCAGATTTTAACCTGACCTTGAAGAAGGTAAGGTATGGTGGGAGACTAGATATTAGCAGCAAACAACCAGATCATGGTGCATCTTGACAATAGGGCCAACTAATTTTGGAGTTTGCTGGAGGGAGGGAATAAATGGCTCTCCCAGGGAAGCAAAAGGCAGAATAGTCTAGGTCAGTGGATGATGTTCCGATGCTTGGTAGACCAGCTCAACCCAACCTGCAAAGGCTGAGGGCTCTGTGTAAATAGCTGTGAAATTATTTTGGCCAGGTATATATGCTATCATAAAATAATATTTTACTCAGGTCCTAAATAAGACGATCTGCTATTAATCCTTAAAGTACCATATGTGTTAATACTGACTTATCGATATACACACATAATAGAAAGACAAAGAGACAACATGGCTATAATAAATTACTGAGTTTTCATTTCTAGCTTGGATGATAGTGGGGCTGCATCAAGAGCTGTTTGAAGGAAAACAGTGGACTGAGGCACTGACTTATTTTCATAGTATCTATTTGGCTTGCTATCTGAGAATCAAATTCCCTCATGGTTGGTCTTAAGGGAAGTTCATTTTAAAATTAGTAACTCTCGACTTAAAAAATTTAATTGCTTTTTGGAGGGGAGAGTGAGGAAGGAAGAAGTGGAAAAGGAAGCATTTTCCTAGAATTATGAATTAGCAACGTTGGATCCTTGTCCCACCAGCTCTGCCCCCAACCAACTATGTAATTCTGAATAAATCTCTTAAATTTCAGATTCCTCCCCTGTACAATGAGATTCTAAAAGGCAGGTGATGTTTGAGATTGTCAGTTTTCTGTGTGACAAGCTAGCATCCCATGGGTATTCATAACAACAGTAAAAGACAATCCATTGAGCAGGTGCCCTTGAATGCGGAGTAAGTATCCCCATAGATCCAACGCTCTAAAACGCTGACACTTGTGAATGGCTGTCTTTATCCTTCAGAGAATGGATGGTGGGCACTCTTGAGTTGGGGAGCTTTGTTAAGCTCTCTGGTAGAAGAGCTTTCCCCTCACTCTGTCCCCATCTGTCATGGAGAAAAGGAAAAGCAAGTGGGTAAGAGTATAAGATTTGGAAGATGCATCCCTGGAATCAGAGAGTCACCTGGAAGGCACCTCCTCCTCCAGTTGCTCTGACCTGAACTCTCTAGTTTATCTTGTGCAAATTAAATTCCAACTATCACCAGATGGGAGCTATCCATTGCTGGGACCTGTCAGGCCTTGGGATTTATGCTCTCCCAGAAGCAAAGGTCTGATCTTTGGGGTCCCAGGAGGAATTGTTAAGGTACTAAGAAGGACAAATGAGGTACAGAACTAACTACAAACACTTCAGTCTTAATGAATTCAATACATAGTGTGTCACAGAGTTAAAAGTGTGGGAAGATTTGTCTTTTCAAATTTATGTTTCCTTATTCTGAGGACCTGTTTGGCAGGCACAAATCTACTGGACTTGTCACAGAGAAACAGGGACTACTCAAAGGGGGCACTAAGTAATACGGAGGACAGCTTCTAGAAATCAAGAAGGGGAATTTTCCATGTGGTCGGGCAAACATAGCATCGCGTATCTTGCTCACCTACTCAAAAAATGTTGACCTTTATGCTTCAAAGCCTCGTGTGGTAGTTCAAGCCTGCTTAGCAGCGTATGGGGCCTTGTACCAGGCTCTGGGTATTTTTATGGGTTTTACTTGTTCAGTAATAGTGGCCTACAAATTTGTAATTCTTTTCTTCCCACCCCATCCTCCCCTCATCTGTTCTATAAGCGTTTGATGCATTCCATTTATCACTTTTCTGTCCCAGCTAAAACAATGTCAGGGAATTGCCTAATGGGAATCCCTATACAAGCACCCAGAGAAAGGGCGGATAAGTGACCGCCCATACATCGAGCACTTTCAAGGCTTTAATCACTACTTAAAAGGTAAAACCACGAAGAAAGCTGGAGCTTTCCTCTGCGAGAACTGTCCATCTTCATCCCCGGGCTGAAGTTTCCCACGAGTGAAACAAGGCATCATCTCATCACCTCCAAGATTTCGCCGACACTTCTCTACATTGGCAATTATTTCCTTTATAACGCGAAACGCTTTCTAGCGCTCCAGCCTCTTAAGAGGTCCCCCAGGTTTCAGGTGTTCCCATTGTGCGGGAGACGCTCCCGGCTTTAATTTTCTACTTCCCAGGCCCAAGCCCGCCCACCGGCGTCGAAGCCAACTCCTTACTGGTCCAGAAGTGTGCTCGTCTCCGAAGCGAGCCAATCAGAGCCTTACTTTCTGCCCGGGGGATTTGGGAAACGGAAAAGACCGCGACCTGTTCCTGGGGGTAAGGCGGGGCCATTAATGAGTGACAGCTCGTCCCTCCAATAGGCAGAGCGCTAGGAACTGCCCCTTCTGGCGCCCGGGCTAGAAAAGAGAGTTGATGCCGGCGGCAGTGATGAGTCCTAGGCGGCGCTGCTTGCTCTGCGGCTTCGAAGAGCGGCTTCTGCTGGTGGCCTCTTTGCAGGTGAGTGGCGGTTTTGTTTTAGAACATTGCTGTTGAGGACGTTCCCATTTTTAAACGATGTGGGTGGTTTATTTTGGAGCGCGAGAAGACCGTTCCTTTCCTCCCCTGGTTCAGTCTTTGAATCTGGCGCTCGCTCGTCCGCCCCTCAAGGTGCCAACCCTCCCTGATCCGCCAGGTCACTTTCTGCTGCCCCTTATCTCAGAATGAGCCTCTCGGGGAATCCCAGATCTGTCAGCTGACAGGAGGACTCACCTTGGCCGTGGTGCCTGGACGGCAAGAATAAAAAGGAGTTGGAGGGATGAACTCATCTCTCCTGGACGTGGGAGGCACCGGGTGGCCGAGCCCCTTGCACAGCAGGGCTCCTGGGAGGGAAGCTCGGCGTGTTTCCAGGGCCATGCACTCTACTCAGGGCGATGGTAGACCTGGCGCTCACAGAGCAAGTACATACAGAAAACCTGAATGCCATGAAAGGAAAAGGAGGTGAATATTTGCAGTGGTTTCATGTAGCGCCCAAATCTGGAGCTAAATCACAGGTTCTTGGAACCACTGGGTGGTGGGGGGGAAAGTGTATTTTCTCCTCCTTTTAAAGGTATGGGAGCTGTGTCCCTAGAGAAGGGCAATAGAAATGCATAATGGAAGTAAAGCTCACAGTTAAGTTTTGAAGGATAATTGGTTGTTAGCTAACTTTCTATAACTCCCATTCCCCTACCGCCTCCCTTTCAAATTCCGGAGGATTTATATAGCCTGTGAGTGGTACCACAGTGTTAACTGGCTGAGTGCAGACTTCTGGGGGGTAAAAAAAAAAAAAATCAAGCTCTATCTTTCATCCGGAGCTACTAAGGTTTTCTATAAGGAAAGCAGAACACATGTTAATTTGTCCTTTATTTTAAAACTGCCTTGTAGCACCTCATACACTATTGCTCCTTCTCAAATGGTGGTGGACTTTCGAGAAGCATAATTCACTCAAATGGTGCAGTGAAAGGAGCTCTGCGTTGCAAGTCAAGATGCCTAGGTTTTAGTTTTGAAGCTGTTGCTATTTGTGTATTCTTAAATCACTTCAACTCTCTGACTCTTAATGTTTGCATCTTTAAAAAGCGGATGTTGCATTAGATTATTTTTGAGGTCCATGCCTGTGTCAAAAGTCCGTTTTAAAATGAAGATCGTTAGACATTTTCCACCACAAGTCCGTAAACAAAATCTCATGACAGTAAATGCCATTCCAATCTGTTAGCAAAGAACAGTTCCCAGTTGCAAACTATTCTTTTGTGTCCATATTGAAACCAGACCAAACCAAGCCAAACAGATCATGGTAAAAAAGTTGGTCTTTGTACAAAAGCATAATGTGGTAGAAAATGTCATTTTCTATTCCATCACTCAGAGGCAGCTACTGTTGGTGTTTGGGTATACGTTTCAGTCTCTCTTCCTCTTTTGCTTTCTTCAGTTGGTTGAAATTAAGTGGCACCTTTCATTTTAAGCAATGTCTGATACTAAACTCAGCCATGCCTTCTTCTTTATGTGTCTGGTGGCCAGAGAACAGAAGACACACAAATGTTTGAACTGATAAGTCTCTTGAACATCCTTGGAATCTGGTGTGAGGGGATGTTATTATGGGGAAACAGGACTAAAAGAAACGCTTAATAACAAATCTTGCGCTGAAGTTTGGCCACAAATATGGAAAAAAACACATACTTTTATAAAATGTAAATTCAATGTCAGCCACTTCACTAAAGCATTTGGATTGTGGAATATTGATTAGGATTTGGTATGCTTCTAGGACTGTATCTTACCATCCACTTCCCTGGCCCCGAAGCACGCGCACGCGCGCGCCCATGCGCACGCGCACACACACACCTATCTGATTTTGTTCCTCCTTCCACCTCCCGACTTAAACTTTCCTCTTTACCTGCCACCCCCATTTTACTGTACTCCCAGCTGTTGCTTCTGCTTATGCCATCAGCAAGGGAGGGTCACCGTTGGGGTCTGAGGCCTGTGCCATGCGTTAGTCAAAGCCTGCTCCATTCAACCCAGGATACCTCTCACTCCTTGGTAGAGGCTTCACCATCACCTTCGTTAGTCTTCTTTATAGCCCCTTGAGAGCAGTAATTTCATTATCCTCATCTTTTCGGATAAAGAACCTGAGGTCCGGAGAATTTAAATAACTTTGTCAGGATCACACTGTCAGTAAATAGCAGAGTTGGGACTGATGTCCAGGTTGCTCGACTTGAAACTTTTGAGATTTGGTAGAAATAGGGTGTGTTGACAAAAGCTGCTACTCTGGGGGAGAAAGTAACCAGAGATAGGAAGGAGGTGACACGAGTGGGTGCCATGCCCATTGGTAATGCCATGCAGGCTGAAACAAGCACCATGCCCAGGCAAACACACATCTCATGACACAGATCTATCTCTTCCCTGTGAATAGCGGTCTACTGTTTATGGTTTGGTACCCTCGTAACAAGTGATTGGTAGGAGATGTCAAGTTGGAGAATAACGGTAACAGTGCCTAGAAAACACTTGTAAGGAATAGGATTTTCTCCTGGTAAAGAGGTGTTCTCATAATGCAAATATAAATGGAAAAGTTTCTATAAAGCTTTAGGAAAAGTAATAGATGCTGGAACACTCGGTGCTTTTAGGTGTCGTCATGTTTGAACTTTTAATATTGAGCTTGATTTGGAGAAAGGAGTATTTTGTTAAGACTCTAGTGAACTCAGCTCCAGATTTCATTTCCTTTAAGAACTGTTCCTTTTTAATTTATCAGAAACATGGTTAACCTCTCTTTTTTTTCTCCTCTCCAGTATAGCTAGCCTATCTTTTGTAGTGTTAGGTTCCTAATGCAGTGGGGTTTAAGAGTCAAGCAGTGAGAATTTGGACCTGGGATAACATCTGAGTGGTCTGCGATTTAAGGGTAAGCTTTGGATCAAACCAACTGTCTCTGTAGCTCTTCTTTTATGTTATTTCAACATTACATCACTGATCACATTTCTTACACAATTTTAGGACACAAAACAAACTTAAGTTTTTAGGCTGCTCTCTGTCATTTTCCCTGCCTGTTCATGCGCTGTCATACTAGAGTGTTCGACATTATTGCTTTTCAAACACCTGGGGAAGGGAGGAGGCAATGTCTTAGGAGCATTAATTTAGAAGACAGGACAAGCCTCAAGTATGGTGAGGAAGGGGAAGGCATGTGAAATTACATGGTTTAATCAGGGGCAGGAGTAGGGGGCATAGCGAGATTGTTAGGCTACAGTGGTTGAAACTGCCTAGAGCTCTTGGAAATACAGTAGAGGTAACCTCAGTAAATGCAGTGCCTTATGTGTGCACAGTCCCTTATCTACCTACCCTCTTCATCCCTGCCTTGCCAAAACTATGCTAATCTTGAAACATAGTTTCAATTTTATGGTGGCATCTATGGAGAGAATATTTTTTGCTCTATACCCAATTTGGAAGATATATATCTATATATATATCTATATATCTATATATATATATTTACACACACACACACACACACACACACACACACACACACACACATACAGAGGGTGCCAAAAAAATGTATACACATTTTAAGAAAGGAAAAAACTATTAAAATTGTAATAATATATACCGATCACAAAAGATGAATACAAGTCATGTGTATACATTTTTGTGGCACCCCCCCCATATATATAAAATGTACACATTTTAAGAGATGTTATCTATGTGTCATTTTTCAAAGCTGAATTGAATTACGGTAGCAACGTGTACTATGACGTTTGCTTAAAAGATGACGTTAATCAAATAAATGCCAGCATCATTCATTGTAGTATAATTTTAATACAGTTTTTTCCTTTCTAAAAATGTGTATACATTGTTTTGGCACTGTGTGTGTGTATGTGTGTGTGTATGTATAAATTTGTGGTAAAGGTATTTGAAAATATAAGTCAACTGCACAGTGTGTTCCCTTTGAATCACCTATTTGTTTCTTTATTGCCAAGGCAATTGCCTAGCACCCCTTCTTGAGCAATATACATCCATCTGAAGTGTGAGGCACCGTGATGATTTATGAAGATGTCTAGTAGAAGTAAAATCTGTCAAAATGACAGAGTATCCTTTTGAAGTTGGTTAACAAGATGAATAATTTTTTCTCTATAGTTTTACCTTGAACCCATTATTACATAATTCAGTTAAGCAACAGTAAACTACTCAGGTTGATTCAAAGGTACTCAGTATTGTACTCTGTGAGGAATAAAAAACAATATGAATGGGTTCCATTCCTCAAGATAGTTGCAGTTCTTGCCAAGAATAAAGTCAGGTGATTTCATAATGTTGGGATTGTCCCATGACAGGGTGCTTAAAGGTGCAAAAAACGCTGGTGCGATTAGTGGATCTGAGTAGGGTATCAGGTACTGGAAAACTAAAGAGTAACAATAGTTCATGTGCATGAAAATTATGAAATTCTAGTTTCAATATTCATACATAAAGTTTTATTGGAACACAGCCTTATTCATTCATTTAGGCATCGTCTGTAGCTGCTTTTGGCTACAATGGCAGAATTAATTGCAGCAGAAACCACAAAGCCTAAAAATTACTGTTTGACCTTTTACAGAAAAAGTTGAGCTAAGCTGTAGTGTTTTTCACATCATCTCTATGACATTTCAGCAGTCATTATCCTGATGCAAATCTTTATTATATGTTACCAGAATTGCTATGCGAGCCTCACAAGCATTCATATCTCTGGCGTTCCCATCTCTGTATTCGTAAGTGCTAGCTGATCCTCCTAAGATACACATTATTAAACCTCTAATGATGTCCCAATACTTATAGAAGAGCCTGCATTTTTTGGCACAAGGCCCTTGTGGGGCCACTGTTCAGTCTTATCTTTCTAGGCTTGTCTCCTACCTCCTCGTCATACCCTGTACTCATATAATTTTCCAAGTGGGACATGCAAGTGTGAAAGGGGCCCTGTAATTATTATGTTGGGGGAACAGGCCTAAAGCAAGACGGTGTTAGGCAAACCAGGA